AAAGAGAAATTCTACATAATCATATAAAAATAGAACCCTGTGAATTCTATTGTAAGTGTATATATATATATATCACACATATATATGGGGGCTATATGCATATAAACATATATTTATATTAAAAGAACAACACTAATTAAAAATAAGCATTTTTAAATGACACAATCTACTAAAATCTTCCAGACTTTTACTGAGTCATGGATGGGCTACCTTCCCTCATCTCCCTGTACTTCATGAAGCCTTAGCAATCACACTTATGAACTAAATCCCGAACCATGTAAGTTTTTTTTCCCGGCCATGATCCAGAGACTCAGAAATAAATCCTGAGAGATATCAAGTAGCAGAGATTCTGCCAAACCCTGGATAAGACTGAGTTGTCCAGGGTACCCTGGAGAGGGGGCAGGTGAGCCCATTACCAGCTCCAACAGAGCTCCTAGTAACCGAAAACCTCCACACTCCGCAATGCTGTCATGTTCCTGGCCAGAATCTACTGCTTGCAATGTCCAATAATTTCATGCAGAGATTAACCTGTTAAAAGACTTAAGTGAGCAGGTTTTAGTGACTGATATCTCCAAATTTTCACGGAGTTGGGGATGGGGGATGGGCTACCTCCCTCACTCTCTCTGTACTTCTCAAAACCCTGGTATCCACGCAAATGCTATAAAACACCACCCACTTAAAAATATAACTCTAGCTCTATCACCTTGTTAATAATTTGAACTTTCTGGAGCATGAAGCCAGACTCAAACCTTACAACACTGATAAACCAGGAGTAACACACCAGATTGAATGGGATGTAATATAGGCATCCAATCTTGATTAACAAAATGTCAACATAGAAGATACAACCCGTAAGAACATCCTAGTAATCTCTTTTACAAGGGCTTATTAACTTGGTGGTGAGATTCACAATCTTAACTAACTTTCTTCTGAGGAAATTTTTTTGATCATTCTTTTAGGAAATTATAAGAAGCAATATAAAATAAATTATTGAGGACCTGCTATAGGGGCAGGTTTAAAAGGTGGTTGGGAAAATTGGTGGTGAGAAGATGCAATGGTGGTAGAACTGGTGTTGATATATTGAATATCTGAACAAATTGTCATGGACAACCTTGTAAACCACAGTGTTTCGATAACGTGTAAGGGGAAAGTAAAATAAAAAATTAATCAAGCCAACAATGGAAACAGAGTGAGACATGGAACTTTCCATAGAGTTGTTAAAGCAAATACAATGCTCTAAAGAGTAGAATTCTGGTTTCTTGTTATCTTCACTTTCTTTTGTTTTGTTTTGGGATCACACTCAGCAGTGCTGATCAGGGAACACTCCTGGCTCTGTGCTCAGGGATCATTTCTGGCAGTACTTGGGGTACCCAATGGCATGCTGGGGATTCTGCCAAGGTCAACTATATGCAAAGCAATTTCCCTCCTTGCTATAGTATCTCTCCAACCCCCTTATAATCTTTAAAAATACACAATTTCTTGTGAATTGTTTGGCTAAAGTTTTTTAAAACCACAAAGCTGATGGAAACATCACACAGGTTAAATATACAGGTGGCAAAAATTAACCAAAGTCAAACCAGTCACTGCTCAATGCTCAGACTATTTAAAGGCAGGGAGCCCAGCTCTCATCTGCCTCCGATAATCTGAGTCTCACCTATATCACTAACTATTAGGGTCAGCTCTGTGAGCAGAAACTATTACTAAAGTGACTCTCAGTAAGAAGCTTCACTTCTCTACATTTTCCTCCCCTTACACTAGGGAGAATAACAGTGATATTGTAATAAATTCAGGGAAAAGACAAAGTCCGTTAACTGAATAGAGGAAATATTTCAAGTGTAAGCTCAGGATCTAAAATCCCCGCCATAATAACTTAGTAACTTTGACAAATGACAAATCTTTTCTCACCGCAGACAATCATGGGGGAGAGCAAACCACCCCACACAACTCCAGAAGATTGAAATAAGTTAATATTAATATGTGATGGTTCAATAGTGCCAGGCACATAGCAAAGCACTTAGTACCTCTGTATTATTTTTGTTGTTGTTTTTTATATAAATCTGTATTATTTTTGAAATCTATGACAACAATTATGTTCAAATGAAATTATATTTAATGACATCAACTTGAATAAAAGCTGAAAAACTTAAATTTACATTGAAGTCTAATTATAAAATAGTGAAGAGTCAACAGCTACAAATAAACCATGTGACTCACCAAGGTTGTCAGTGTGGGATTTTCCCCCACAACTGAAGAGTACTCAAATACTATTTTCTGTTCATTCTATTTGACAGTTCTTAAAGTGTTGTTGGAACCCAATAGGAGAGAGAGAACAAAAGTGAATGCCCTGCCACAGAGGCAGGGAGGGATGGGGGGATGGGGGTGGGAGGGATATCATCCATGGTGGTGGAAAATGGGCACTGGTGGAAGGATGGGTATTTGATCATTGTATAATTGAAACCCAAGCACAAAATTTGTAAGTCTACAAATGTACCTCACTAATAAAAATTTAAAAAAATAAATTATTGTTGGAATAAACAATATAAAGTAATTTTTTTATGTGCCAAAGTGGGCAGGCTGAAATTATGAGGGAAATTGTGGATATTGGTGGAGTGAAGATTACACTAGTAGTGTTGGGACACTAAATGTATAATAAACAACTGTATAATGAACAACTTCATAAATCATGGTGTTTTTCATAAAAATATCTTAAAATTATAAATGGCACAATAAAACAGATAATTTTAAAAACAGTAGGAGTCAAACAAAGACTTGCATATAAGGCGATCCCAATATGGTTATCAGCGGATTTCTCAATAGTAACTCTTTAGGCCATGAGGAATTGGCACGATACTAATTATTGAATGAAGAAGACCCCCAACCTAGAATACTATGTTCAACTGGGTTTTCAGACTTGAAATAATGATAAAAAGGCCCTTCCTCAAAGATATTTAAAGTATAGTCATGACTATTAAATAAATCTTCAAGAAATTTTTTAACATTAGTCTATAAATAAAAAAACCCACTTGGATTCTGTATGGTACGAAAGAACATAAAAATGTGTAATAAAATTATCATTTAGAAAGAAACCAAATTGCTTTCAATTTAAAATGAGATGCTAGCTTAGAATTTTAGATAAAAACCTCAAATATCAAAATGTTATATCAAAACAAATATACTTAGAAAAATAAAAATAGGCAAGTATATCTCAAAGTATAGGGTAAAATGAACAGATACAAAAGACAGTGATACTCAGAATCCTATACACATGGCAATTTATATGGAAAATATGGGTTTTTTTGCTACACCCAGTGTAACTCAGTGTTTATTCCTGGCTCTGTCCTCCTGGTGGGGGTCAGGAGACCATATCAGGGACAATCAAATCTGGAAATCAAGTCCATGAATCAAATCTGGGAATCAAATCTGGATCTGACATTTGCAAGGTAAATACCAACTGTATTATTGCTTCAATCCTGGAAATACTTTCTTAGAAATTTTAAATTTTCACTAAATGTCTAATGTCCTAAATTCACCAATCAAAAGGCACACAGATAAATCAGGAAACAAAAACACGTACACTGTCTGTAGAACTCCAATGCTAAATATAGTATAAATTTATTGTTTCCAAGTTTTTATTTTTAATTAAAAAGAAACTTCCCGGGCCAGAGTACAGCAGGTAGGGTGTTTTCCCTGCATGTGGCCAACCTGGGTTCGATCATCAGCATCCCATATGTTCCCCGAAGCACTGCCAGGAGTAATTCCTGAGTGCGGAGCCAGGAGTAATCCCTGAGCATCGCTGAATGTGAGCCCCCCGCCCCCCAACCCCCAAAAAGAAATTTTCTTATTATCTCCATTGATTCACACAGGTCTTATCAGAAATGTTGTACCAACACTCATAAAGGTCATTAATGAAACTCGATTCATTTAGTTTTGTCACGGATAAATCCATACTGCTGTGCTGAGTGATAGAATATTTGCTTTCTTAATTAAATCTACTGCATTGGGTGAAGAAATCACTGTTGTGTATCTCCTAAATTTTTATAGACAACTTGCTCACGGAGGATCAGCTTCCTAAAATTCTGTTTCGTTATAATATCCCATGAGTTCCAAACTTACTCAACTCAAGGAAGCAGGGATGCTTTGTCAGGGTTCAAAGTCAAGTAGCCTAATGGTAAACTTTGACAAGCTTCTTTCCAATGCTTAAAAATTACATGAGAATTCCTGTAATATTCTGATGAGTCTCTGATAAATGAGTTGGATCACAAATAAAAATTTATCTTATACTTTTTATCAGTCATCAATATTTCTTCTAAATTTTCAGCTCTGCCTTATTCAAAGGAAATCTTTAGACAGATAAATCAAAATAAAACAGCCATGCATTTAAAACTTTTATTGAATCTCAAAAAGTTGACACACACAAACATTTGCAAAGAAATTTAGACTAATGCTAATGAGGATGTATTTAACTCTTGTATAATTTTATATTATTGAGTTAGTAGCACTGTAGCACTGTCTTCCCATTGTTCATCGATTTGCTAGAGTGGGAACCAGTAATGTCTCCATTGTGAGATTTTTTATTACTGGTTTTGGCATATCGAATACGCCACAGGGAGCTTGCCAGGCTTTGCCGTGCAGGTAGGATACTCTCAGTAGCTTGCCCGGCTCTTTGAGAGGGACAGAGGAATCTAACCCAGGTTGGCCTCGTGCAAGGCAAACACCCTACTCACTGTGTTATAGCTCCGACACGGAGTTAGTAACAGAATTACATATAATCCTCATTTGTCCGTTCAGACATTGTAAAATAAGACGATTTTAAATAATTAACTATCCTCAACTATAAGCTCATTAGATGTTTCCCTTTCAATTAAAATTATCCAGGGTTATCTCAAGATATTTAGAATAAAACAGTAATGTTAATTTTTGGATCAAATGCTTAATAGTCTTGCTACATTCTTTCACAAAAGAATCCTCCCAAATATGAAGTTTATTAAAAAGGAGCTTACCTGATTTCCTCCCATGCCATGGCAGTTGAATATACCCACTTTTTCATTTTCTTTGCGGCCCATGTTGTCTAAACACTGATTGGTTTCAACATTTCTTATCTAAAGGATGCATAAAAATATAAGTTGGATAGTCATTTCAGTCAGAAAGTAATTTATATTATCAAATTGTATATTGAAAAGAATAATACATTAAAATTTCTCCAATAACACGCTGTTTTAAATATTTTGTCAGTTCTTAGATATGTATAAGATTGTAAATTTATACAGAAGTAAATTTTAATAACACTGTAACTGTCATTAGTATCTAATTAAGATAACAGTTTACAGTATAGTATTTGAAAAGAAGATTCTATAAGATGTAAAAGGAATTTTTCCCGAAATTCTTTTAAGTTTATGATACTTTGTAAATTTTACTCAAAAATTAATCTATTCTAGAACTTCTATACTATCACAAAAAAAGAATATAAATAATTCACTATTTCTTAGATTGCTTTATTACTAGATTTCCAGTAAGTATATTGATATAGATTAATCATATTGTATATTTCTCTAACCAAAAGCAGTTTCACATATCTTGATTCACTGACAATGCTAAACTTAATGGAAAATTGTTGACTCTAAGAAAATTCAGTATAAAGCTAATTGGTGATTTCACCTTAAACATTTAGCAAAAACACCATTAAATTGCCAAATACAAACGATGATGTCTGGTTTACACTAAAACACTGCATTAGTCTCAAACTTTATATAAAGCTAATTCATATTCAACTTAAATGTAATTACAAAAGCCATTCATTAAGATTTAAATTGCAGGGGATATGATGCCGCCAGCAGGTCAATTTGTACCTGTGAGGCGAGTGCATCAGCAGCCTGATGGCACCGTCAGGCCTTCAGATACCCCAAAATTGCTGCTGTGTCTTTGGTCAGACCCCAGAAACTTGGGGCAAAGTTTACCAAGAAAGTAAATGGCCAAAAGTTAAGTATGTGGGAGACACACCCACAAACCACCTCTGGTTCAGCTATATAATTGGAGGCATGGCCTCTCTGGTTCCTGATCGAACTAATTAATGGCCATGATCCCAGAGACTCAGAAATGAATCTTGGAACCCAAGGGCTTTTGGCAGAAATGCGTCCTGTTCCTGCAGTAGGTTACTGGCTCTGGGCCAATCAAGATGGGAATAGGTTTCTTGCCTTGGCCTGTTCCCCTTGGCGGCCCAGTGACCACCATCCTCCAGAGGCTACTGGACAGTTAGGTTTGGGCCTACAGTGATGAGACATGCGGGGCCTCACCAGATGGGGGTGGAACCAGTCCTTTCCTCCCCATCCCAGCGAGACCCCGAGTCGCTGCCCACAAATGGCCTCTCTGGCTCCTGATCAAGCTAATTAACGGCCATGATCCCAGAGACTCAGAAACAAATCTCGAAAACCAGGGACTTTTGGCAGAAATGCATCTGGACCGCATACAAGGTGGCTGCTGCCTCAGAGCTTCTTGGAAAGCCAGGAATGAGCCGGCGGTGACGGGACAACTGCAGTCTCATGGGAAGGGGGGGCAGTCTCATGGGAAGGAGAGCCTTTTTCTCTCCCAGCAGCAAGGTGACCACCACCTCAGAGCTTATTGAAAAGCCAGGTATGAGCCAGCATTGACCAGGCAACTGCAATCTCATGGAAAGGGGGGCGGTACTGGCATGTCCTTCACACCCTACCAAGGTCATGAGTTGCCCCCCCACGAGCGACTCTCTGGCATTGCCATGGCTCCAGAGGCAAAAGGACTTAATCCAGAGCCTGGAAGCTTGTGGCAGAAAAGTGAATGGACCATGCATTAAACTATAGCTTCATGACTCCCCGGGAGGGAAAAGGTGTTGCTCCCTTCCACCTTTTTCCCGCCCAGCAGCAAGGTGGCCACAGCCTCAGAGCATATTGAAAAGCCAGGTATGAGCTGGCATTGACGGGGCAACTGCAGTCTCATGGAAAGGGGGTCAGTACCGGCATGTCCTTCACACCCTACCGAGGTCACGAGTTGCCCCCCACGAGCGGCTCTCTGGCACAGCCAAAACACCAGACACACAGAAACCAATCTCGTAACTATCTGGCTCTTTGCAGAAATCCAAAATCACAAGGCTGCTATTGTGGCCACGCGAGATTATATGATTCTCGTAACCAGATATAGAAAACAAAGTACTTCACAATGCCTTTTCAGCAATTCTGATTGTTGGGGGGGAAAATTCTAAACAATAATGGTGCATCTTTTATTGAAATGATGAATGTAATCAATGTAGAGAAGAGTTGAGTGGAAATCATCTGCCTCACAGGCATTGGGAGGGGCGGGAGGGGGTATATTGGGGTTCTTGGTGGTGAAAAATGAGTACTGATGAAGGGAAAGGTGTTTGATCATTGCATGACTGAGACTTAAGCCTGAAAGCTTGATAACTTTTCCCACAGTGATTCAATAAATAAATATAAGAAAAAATAAATAAAATTATAAAAAAAGTAAGGTGGAATTCATGCCCAATTTAATCAGCTAGTCAGTGGCTGAATAAATAGCAGCACTCCTACATTTAAAAAAAAGAAAGAAATCCTTGGGATTTTAAATGTAAATTTTTTTGTTATTTATAAGTAGATTGTTTTTATTTTTTCCTTTCCAATCTGGATGCCTTTTATTTGTTTCTTGCCTCACTACCCTAGGTAGAGCACCCAGTACAACATAGATGAAGTGAATATCCTTATCTCGTTCCTGATCTTACCAGGGAAGTACTTGTCCCTTACCCTGATGATATGTTGTCAACTGTGTGTTTTTCTTGGATGCCTTTATTTGTTTCTGTAAATTCCCTTCTTTTGAAAAAAAAAGAGTTAAGTTGCTAAAATTCCTAAATTGAGTGCAAAAAGAATGGCTCAAAAGAGAAGGCAAACTATTTTAATAGATGGAATGTGAACTTTTTGACATGGAAAATACTCTATTTGCCTAAATATTTTTTTCCAAAATTTTATTTTATTAATGCCCCATGGCCCGGCAAGCTACCGAGAGTATTCGATATGCCAGACACAGTAACAACAAAGTCTCCAATGGAGACGTTACTGGGCCCGCTCGAGCAAATCGACGATCAACGGGAGGGCCTTTACCTTTTAATGCCCCATGATTACAAAATTATTCACTGGATTTTTGACATACAATGTTCCATTATCAATTCCACTGCCATTATCAACTTCCCTCCACCAAAGTTCCTAGTTTTCCTCTTCTACTCCCACTCCAACCCCAGATCCCAGCTGGGGTTTTAATTTTGGTTACTAAAGTTTGTGTTTCATGATTTCAGTGTTGTTTTTGTCTCATGACTCTGACTCTGTAGTTTGGATATTTAGTTCTATTATTCCTTAATACCACCAATGTATCTGGTGGCCCTTGATCTCCACCCTGTTGCATCTTATCTGTCTCTTCTAACCTTCCCCTGCACTCTATCTCTTTAGTTCTTCGTATACTCTGGTGCCAAGGGATGATATCTCATCCCTTTTTTTTGAATTATTGCATTTTCTCATCCAATTACTCTAAGTACCACATATAAGTTATCATTCTGTGTTTTCTCTTCTCCTGGCTAATTTAATTTAACATGTCATCTTCCAGTTCTATCCATGTCGCAGCAAATTACAGGATTACATCATTCCTCGTAGCTGCATAGTATTCCATTGTGTATTTATACCAAGTTTTTAAATATATTCCTCCCCTTAAGGGCCAAATAAGCAACAGAGAATAGTGAGGATTAGAATTCACTCTTGGTAAGGATAGAAAGAATTGAGCAAAGTGTTCCAACTCCATTTCAGTGGATTGAAACATTCATTAATAAATTTGAATAGCAGCTCTTTTTACCCAGGTACCTGCCCCATGGAAGGGCTTCTTCCTGGGGTTGCCATCTACCTAGATCCCCAGAGAGTGGCCTGTTTTCATTCTTGATCTGTGGGGGTCAGAAATTGAAGCACACCACACACAACCAAAGCTGAACCGTTCCGGGCACCCTCTGCTAATCTCACCCAGGTACCCGCCCGGTGGCAGGACTCCTTCCCAGAGCAGCGGTCAAGTTATTCTCCCCCTCCATATCCCATATAAACCATAAGTTACCCTCTTAGATGGAACTTTCACTAGGTTAGCTTAACCACCAATAATTCATTAAGCCAATAATTCATTAAGCCCATCTCAATATTGCATCATAAGTTGAATAGCAACAGTGATCGTGAAGAGCTAAATCACACAGGTCACAATAGTAAAGCAAGGTAGAAGCCCACCAGGCTTACTTATTGAAGAAGCTAGCCCAGTAGACCCCAACAGTAATGAAGTGCTAGACAACCTCTCTGACAAGAAATTTAGAAGGGAGCTACTGAGGATACTTAGGGAGCTAAAAGAAACAATCAAAAGTAATTCCAATAAAAGATAAGAGGATTTGAAGGTAGAAATGAGGAAAATACAAACAAAATTACAAATGGAAATATCAGACCTGAAAAATCTGGTAGGCAAATTGAAAAACTCAGTGGAAGGCCTCAGCAACAGAGTAACAGCTGCTGAGGACAGAATCATTGAGCTCAAAGACGAAGCCCAGAGACTCTCCAGAAAAGAGCAGAACATGGAAAAGAGACTCACAATTCGGGAACAGATGGCAAGAGAAGATCGTGATGAAGCCAAGAGGATAACATAAGAATTATTAAAGTCCCAGAGGGACAGGAAGAAAACCCCGGTGAAGAAGAAACTGTCAAAGACATCATTGCTACAACGTTCATAGAGCTGAAGAAAACATGTTACCACAATCAGGAGGCCTGAAGGGTACTAGCTAGAAGAAATCCGAATAAAAATACCCCAAGACACATCCCGATCCAAATGACCAAAAGCTTCGATAGAGACAAAATTCTGAAAGCAGCAAGATTAAAGGAAGAAATTTCCTCTAAAGGAGCATCCTTAAGATTCACAGAGAACTTGTCTGATGAAACCCTTACGGCCTGAAAACAGTCGTGGTATATAGTGAAAAAAACTCAATGAAATAAATGCCTCGCCAAAAATACTTTACCCAGCGAGATTCTCATTCATAACAGAAGGAACAACACACAGTTTCACAGACAAACAA